CTGGGATCTAATCCAGAAAGTTCCCAGATTTCGCCTCGTGCAGCTCTGCTCCCTCTATGATGGAAGGACCATTGCTGCTCCGATCTTTATCTGTAACCCAATAGAAGGATTGGCTCGAGTACGCCTGTCAGGAGCCTAACGACCCATGCAACCTTTGTGGTTAATCTGCACCAGACAAACTATGGCAGTAATGAGCCCATCTGTTGGACTCTTCACCAGCACAATGGCTGCTGGGATGCGATTTGACTCCTGCCAGGGGAAAGGAGCCAACAGACGGTTGATTATAGACCTATTCCTATTTCATGTATGATTTGGCAATTCTTTGTTTTTTGTTATTTTTAAGATAGAAATAAGTTAGTTGAGGACTCTTTTGATTCCGTTGTCGAACAATAAAATAAATAAATAAATACTAATATGTTTGATTGGGAAAAATATTCTGGATCCTTGATAAGGGATCACAGGAAGTCATCACATCGGGCCATGGCCACATGGCTTGTTGTAGTCTGTCATTGTTGTTAATTGTTCTACAACAAAAATTAGAAAAAAATAATTTTCTCCAGCGGTTTTTGTTGTTGAACAAAAACAATCCTCAACCTGCGACAAAAATTGCCGACTTTTTCATATTTTCTTTGGCTATATCTCGATAATTTATAGACCGATATGGGCGCGCCATGTCTCTGCGTGATCGGGAGAGTCCTGCCAATCGACTGACATCGGAAAAAGGGACATCCATTTTTTCATGATTTTCGCAAAAAATCATGATGTAACCATCATTAAATTTTCAAAAAATCGGCCTCATATTCGTAGTCGAGATTTTGATGCCGAACGACAGTCTGGACCCTCACGATCCTGGGAGAGTGGGTCCTTCACCGATCTGGCCCGATTTGTCTGAGATATAGCCTTCCGAAGACTTGGATTTGCAAAAAATACTGGTATTTTCTGCACGCTATATCTCGACTATTTACGGACCGATCTGGCCGCGGCATGTCTCTCCGTGATCGGGAGAGTCCTGTCAATCGACTGACATCGGAAAAAGGGACACGGAGCGACAGTCTGGAGTCTCACAATCCTGGGAGAGAGGGTCCTTCACCGATCTGGCCCGATTTGTCTGAGATATAGCCTTCCGAATACTTGGATTTGCATAAAATACTGGTATTTTCTGCACGCTATATCTCTGCTTTATGGAAGCCGATCTGTGCGCGGCATGTCTCTCCGTGATCGGGAGAGTCCTGTCAATCGACTGATATCGGAAAAAGGGACATCCATTTTATCACGATTTTCGCAAAAAATCATGATGTAACCATCATTAAATTTTCAAAAAATCGTCCTCATATTCGTAGTCGAGATTGTGATGCCGAGCGACAGTCTGGAGTCTCACAATCCTGGGTGAGTGGGTCCTTCACCGATCTGGCCCGATTTGTCTGAGATATAGCCTTCCGAATACTTGGATTTGCATAAAATACTGGTATTTTCTGCACGCTATATCTCTGCTTTATGGAAGCCGATCTGTGCGCGGCATGTCTCTCCGTGATCGGGAGAGTCCTGTCAATCGACTGATATCGGAAAAAGGGACATCCATTTTATCACGATTTTCGCAAAAAATCATGATGTAACCATCATTAAATTTTCAAAAAATCGGCCTCATATTCGTAGTCGAGATTTTGATGCCGAACGACAGTCTGGACCCTCACGATCCTGGGAGAGTGGGTCCTTCACCGATCTGGCCCGATTTGTCTGAGATATAGCCTTCCGAATACTTGGATTTGCATAAAATACTGGTATTTTCTGCACGCTATATCTCTGCTTTACGGAAGCCGATCTGTGCGCGGCATGTCTCTCCGTGATCGGGAGAGTCCTGTCAATCGACTGATATCGGAAAAAGGGACATCCATTTTATCACGATTTTCGCAAAAAATCATGATGTAACCATCATTAAATTTTCAAAAAATCGGCCTCATATTCGTAGTCGAGATTTTGATGCCGAACGACAGTCTGGACCCTCACGATCCTGGGAGAGTGGGTCCTTCACCGATCTGGCCCGATTTGTCTGAGATATAGCCTTCCGAAGACTTGGATTTGCAAAAAATACTGGTATTTTCTGCACGCTATATCTCGACTATTTACGGACCGGACACGGAGCGACAGTCTGGAGTCTCACAATCCTGGGAGAGAGGGTCCTTCACCGATCTGTCCCGATTTGTCTGTGATATAACCAATGAAAATTTACAAAATAAATCTGATGTCAAATGGTCAAACACGAGACATTTCTAAGGGGTTCTTGCATCTGTCCCGTTGGTATACGATTCTGTCTGGCTGGGGTAGGACTCAATCTGTCTCGAATACGCTTCGGTAATATTTGGATAGGACTCCGTCAGTTTTTGGCAAAGCGTAGGGTACATAGGTCCTCCGTGAAGGAAGATATATTTTAAAATAGATATATCTCCTCTCCTCTTCCAGTCCTATTCGTACACCTACGAGTATGTACCTCCCATGGGGCGATGTGGCAGCATGACATTGCTTGAGATTAACAGTTTTCATATACGGCTAGAAATGGATGCATGAATGAATACTAACTGACTCGACAAACGTAAATCTACCATTTAAATTAAAAACATTTATTTTCCCACGCTAGAACACACCACGAATAATTGTCCTTGTGAAAAACATATTGTTCTCAAATCTAATCTTGCGTCTCATGTATGAGGATGATGTTAATCTCTATGTCCAGTATACAGTATATTACAATCCGATCTCAATTATTTTCAGTCATAATGTTGTGGCAAATGATTACACTTTAATGTCTCGAGTTCAAATTAATAACATTTCATCGGTCCAGCCCCTTGTTGGCTCCTTGCACCCTATGCGGTGCTCCCTTGGAGAAAATTATCCTGGTTGATGATCTTCGTGTTAAATTAGACCCCAAGCTAAAGTTTTCTGAGCACATTTCCTCAATGGTAAATAGGGCCATAAGCGTGCTTGGGTATTATATAACGAAGACTCTCTATATTTCGCTAGCTCGTCCTATTTTTGAATGCGACTCTTGTGTATGGTTCCATCAATACAAAGTACACCAGGACCGTATCGAATCATTCCAGAAAAACGTTGTGTTTTGCTCTCCGCGGCCTCAACTGGGATACAAGTGTGAAATTTCCATCTTACCCAAATACATTGCTTTTAATAAACTTTCCATAAGAGCATATCAGCGTCCAAATGAATACAAAACGAGGGGGGACGTTGTGAGTGGCAGCTACGGCCGCGGCTCTACAGATTTTCGAAATACGCTTTTAACAGTTCGAAATCACAGGAGTCTGGACACCTGCATCTCCATTTGGTCACAGATCCTGCCTCTTGTTCAAGTTTCTTGTTTTAACTTTTAAGAGAAACTGCCCTTTTAGCGCTGCTTCTTTTTGATGGCCGACTAAAGCCAGTGCAACTATCTGACTTTTTAGTTCTTTTTTATCAATGTTTGGTGTCTATTTTGGTATATTTTCTAAGGCATCCGATATATCGAGTATCAATTCAGATTTCTTGAATTATTTCTTATGCAGCCAGCTCACTAAAGTTGTTTCTTTTAATGATTATTTTTCGGTTTTGCAATGTACATAATACTCATGTCCTGAGATATCATCTATCCGCTTCAAACTGAGTTGATGGTAACATTTTTATATACTATTTTTATTTGCTTTCTGCTGTTTTATCAGTTGATCAGATTATCAGATCATCAGTAGTTTTGTAAGCACATTCTTCACGAGACAAAATCAATAAACTCGTACGGTGATAAGTATATGGGTATCCTTTTTTAACTTGCCAAAAATTCAGTTTAAGTATATTCCAATTCTGATGATATATCCATATAGGCTTAATTTTTGTCTACTCGGACTATTTTCCGTCAGTCAATTGGTTGTCTGATAACATCAACAAAAATAGGTAAGCATGCCCAAGGATTCACATAAGGAAAGAAAAGATTCCGTCAATTCCTCTTTAGTTCCTTCATATTCTTCTTAAGGCTTGCACTTACGCTTGCTCACCTACACTCCATAAAGCTCTAATTTAGGGCCTACTTCTTAATATTCACATTTACAGAAGCAACGAAGCGGTTCTAGCTCCTTAAGTAAGCGTCACTCACGGTAGCCCTTACCTCAGCGCGTGATGGCAATCCATCTACGTCATTAAATATGCCTTTTAAATAGAGATTTATAGAAAGTATTTTGCATTTCTGTTTGGAACAATGGAACGAAATATGCTTGGCATGGACCATATACGAAATTCCTAAAGTAGTTCCATGTAGTGCTTCCACATCCTGTTTGGTTTCTCCAGCGATGATGCCAAGAACTCCCCGCACTCTTCTTAGGCCCAACCCAAGTGAAAGATAGTTATTACAGTTTTCTACCAGGCATTTAATTTTCAATTTCAATTATATCCAGTTTTTTGCGGTACAGGAAACTACACACGAGTGTAACCTCGTTGATACACACATCTGTAGTCTCCTATGCCGAATTTCGCAGGTCCTTTCCGATTCTCAAAGAAACACACACACTCATTTCACATCAAATCAATATTATTGTTTCTTTGCCAATCAGTAAGGACGTATAACGTTTCCAATATATGTACATATATTTCTTATACAGAATAAATATCATTGTTTCTTTGCCAATCAGTAAGGACGTATAACGTTACCATGTCATTCGTTATTCTGTACAAACAAAATATTGTTTTTTTGAATATGTTTGGACGTATAACGGTTCTATATTCAGTTCGTTATACAGAATAAACAAATTTGTCTTGTTGCATTTTTTTCAGTTCAGACGTATAACGGTCTACAGACGCATATTCGTTATACAGAAAAAACATATTATATATTTTTTTTGGATGTGCTCAGACGTATAACGTTTCCATTTTTCACATTTTTTTTTTCGCGGGATTCTCTCGTCGCGTATAACGGTGCTTTTTTGACTTGCTTGTTTTTTTTCTATGGAAATGCTTTTTTTGCTTAACACTTTTTGTATATATTTCTTTCTTTCTTTATTTTTTTTGTTTCTTTCTTTTTTCGAATTTCGTATAACGATGCGGCAAGTCTTTCATTTGGCAATGTTTTTTTTCATTTCCATTTCGAATTTACGGCGCGCTCACGCTTAGCCGTTTTGTTTTTTTTTTTTTTTTTTTTTGTTATACGCAAATTCGAAATTTTCTGTTTCGGAAAACGTTTCAAGACCACGAAACGCTTCGACGCGTTTTCCGAAACCCGAACGATTGTGTGTATGCGATAGTTTATCTGTGTGTTGATCAGTGTGGGGACTGTGATGTGGGTTGCAGGAGTCTTGGGGCAGTGGAAACTAAAAAGGTGGAAGCACACATATTAATGGGAAAACTGGAAACTTGGGCTTAAGTGGGAGCACACAATGGACGGGGGGTTATCAAACAGACAAAACAAACAGAAACCGGTGTCCTCCAGGCAGAACCTGAAAGTTTTACAAATTGTTTGGTTAGCGGACTCTTCTCTGAGATGTGGCAGAGCTTCTTGGCTGTGGCCGGTTGAGGGTGGACGATGTCCGGGTTCGATGGTCCGGAATCCTTTGGCTCTGCTTCCATATCAAATTCAGGCGGGAGAACGGTCCCCCAAAGAAACCCCTCAGCTGCAGGACATTTCGCCTAACAAAGTGACTAGTTAACAAACAGAAATTTTGAAAATCACAAGGCTCAGCTCTAAGCAAGTCACCAATAAAGACTGCATTTTTTGTAAACGGGTTCAGATATTCAGTAGTTTTTTTCAGAGAATTTTGGGGGCAAACGTTTCGCCGGCCACCATCTAAAGTATTGCGTTGCCTCTGCGGTTATGTTCACACGATTTGTCATAAGTCATAAGTAGGTTTCTTCATTATCAGCATAGATTGTGACGGTTGCCTGGGCAAACCAACTGCAGGTCGAACGATTGACCAACAGAGGGTTTTTTGCATTTTGCTCACAATGAGATCTTTTATTAAAGATCGTAGAAAGCTTCAATACATTTTGTATTATTTTTTCTTATGACAAATCGTATAGCGATTCAGCATTAATTTTTTTGCTTTTTATTTTATTTGTTTACTTGGCTTTCACTTTTTTTGTATATTGTTATATATTTTATTGGTTTATTGGCTGATCTGTAATCTTCTATGATGGGGGCCGGCTGGACGGTTGTCCAAGGATCGACTAGATGTTTCTAGACTGTGCTATGATTTAAAAAGTTGGTGATTTTGGTGACTTAACTTGGCTTTTGAACTCTGCTGGAGGCGATCTAAAGGAATGTGTGGCTGATGTTGTCCTGCAGCTGGGCGGAGAGCTCTGAGAGTTTCGAACTCCCTGTGAATCTATGCAGTGGCAGCTTCTTCTGGTCGACAGCAAAAGCCAGCGACTTGACTAGATTAGCAATAATTAGTAGGTAAACCTGAAATATCTATAGTCCCCGCACCCTGGTCCGTTCCCTGTGGCTACCAGGCAGCAGCTCTTTCCGGGCGGAAAGAAATCATCGCTTGAGACCCGAGAGACTTAACTCTGACAATATTTAGATATAGGCCATGGGTGCGGCTTGATGAGGTGAGGTTTGAACGTTACGATGAAACTTGCTAGTTTATACGATTATTCTTGATCACTCTGTGAGGATGTTATGGTTAGAGCACCTGCCTGGGCAGATTTTTGCTCTTGTGCTTTATATTAGAAGCCTATCGCCCCTGGCAGCTATCCCGATCTCTACGTTTCGACAGACCGCCGTCGTGCCTGCGTGCGTGCGTGCATGCGGCGTGTACGTGTGTGGGGAGGTGAGCACGCCCACTGTTATACACATCAGGGATGCGTTAGCTTTCTTGCGGGATGTGGTTGTATTGCGTTACCGCTCTTATTCGGGCTATGCAAACTGCTCTGTGGCCGTCCTGCTCTGCCGCTTTCGATGGAATCGTTTGGCCGGCGCGACACGAGTGGCTATCCTTTTCATTCCCATGACCAGTCATGAAAGAGAGGAGCGTACTCTCTTGGTCCCTCTCACACATGTTGCTATCTCAGTCGCTTTCACGTAGTGCCACACGAGTGCTTGCACCGCTTTGGTAGAAGTATGTGGTTACGCTTCGTCCCGCACGATGTTCGCGTGTATCCCGCGTGGCACCAAGTGAACGCTTTTCATTCTTTATATTCGCCTCTCGCTCGCGTCGGTCAAACTCTTCCACCGCCAGCGGTACTCTTCGATTCTGTGGGCCCTTGCGGGCCCCATCGCGGCCATAGATGCAGTTGCAAGCATTGGTTATGAGGCAGCGCCCACCAGCCGTCACACCGCCGGTGCGCACCACCCACGCCGCTGCAGTCCGACTCCTGCCGCGCCCGCAACTGCGAGTCGCCCGAGGACGCTGCTGTATTGAGCGCCACCAGGGATGGGCGCCAGAGACCCAGGGCCATGGCCTCCTCTGATCGATTAGGGGTTTTCTTGCTTGATTTATCGGTTGATGGAGCAATGGGGTGATGCTAGTGAGTGGGTGATTCTGGCCATGGCCATAGGTGAATATTGCAGCACAAACAACACGAAAGATCTAGGCTGGGGGCCTGGAAAGATCCACTGCCATGGCGTCACAACCCGTCCCGTTGCGTAGGTCTCATTCTGGTACAGTTGCACTAAGCTCACAAAATCCCCACTTAAAAATTTTCACAATCAAAAAAAAACGCACTGGTCCTCAGTCAGTCGAGGTCACTGGAAAAAAAAATGGAAAAAAACGTTTCACTTTTCTGTATTCGTTTCTGGTGTCTGCAAAATTCCTTACAAAGGTTCCCTGGTGTTCTCCGCGTTCGCCATGTCGCTGGCTAGAGCACTTTCAATCGACTGATGCTCGACTCGGTGACGGACTCGGGCTGGTAGCCTCGGTCTCCTAGGCCACGCCATTGTTGGGCCAGGTAGGTGCACATTCGCTTCGGATCCCATCCCCTAAGCCGGTAGTCGGCTTGGGTTCCCAGGGGTTTGTCCGAGGCCTCTTTTCGGCGACCGTCCACCTCTTTTGTGCAGTTGCAGCTGCCTCGGGTCAGGGCCTTTTCTTTGCACTTAGGTAGTTTTCTTCGCCTTCATTTGAGGCCTGGCTCATTCGATTGCCTGAGAATTGGTTTTTTCTCTTCTTTTTTTTTTTTGTAATTTTCGCTGCTGGCAATGCCGTGAAATTGCATCGTGACGTAGCGCTTGCGAGACATATGTCTGTGTAGCTACAAAACTATCCTTTTCTTTGACCTTACAGCCCCCATGGAGCTAATTAACTCGCTCGTTGATTACCCACTTGGATTATTCCCAAAACTGCATTTTTTCGCAGATAATTTAACGCGTTCATAAATTTGTAAGACGCTCTCCTCACTGGCTTCGCCTTTTCTAGGGATGATATGTGGATACATCGATAAATATACTTTGTAATAATATATTTGCAGGTTTATATATTTTTTGTTTGGCGAAAATATCAATTAGGACTTTTACCTGGCATATATTAACGGAACAGCTAGTTTTCTGAATAAAAAAAAAACTCTACACTAATTTTTCACTTGTTTCATTATCCGCGACACGAGAAAGATTCCGTTCACATGAGCGACGATGAGCGAAGAGTCCCCAATATGCACTCAGTGGCGTTGCCAGATGGGGCCGCCCCACTACAATTACAGAACAGAGTGTATTGATGCAAGGTGTCGCACGATGCCTGTCACTGCACAGTGGTATACATTTGTTGTATTTCAACCGATTATAGAACTTTAAATGAAGCCATCTTTATACTCGAAAATCAAAGAAGCAAAGAAAGAAGCGTTTCCGACCCCATAAAGTATATGTCTATATTGTTGATCGTCCACAATAGGGCGAAAATCTATGAAGATGCAAAAGAACTAGATAAAATCATATCTTTCAGCTTGAATCAGCTCGGATGATCACCATATCCAGACTGAAGAGACCAAATACCAGTGGCTACACGGATACGCGGAATGTACATATGCAAACAGCTAGAACATTTGTGATTAGGTGAAACAGGGACAGACGGAGGTAAGAAATATACTGGATACGTTACATGAATCATAACACAAACTGAGTGGCGCGTATCTAAGTGGCGACTGGTTTTGGATAGGTAAGAGAAGCAATAAATAAGTAAATATGACCAGCTGTGCATATTTTAAGCTTTAAATCCAATTCTTTTTAGAGTTTCTGTAAAAATGTTGGCTTTTGAACCACTGTGCATTGCATGGACATGCCTCAGATATTGAGCTAGTAAGTGAGTGGCAAGCAAAAAAAGGCACTCGAATTATGGAAGTACCATAACTTTGGAGCAGCACTCGTCGTGCGACCCCTTTTTGGCGAACGACACTGTGCTGGCTGCAGCCTTCGGCGACCTTCGGTGCCCAGAACTGGACAGCGCCTTCATCCAGGCTGCATCTGGGCTGCAGCACTTCCAGCAGATACACACTTTTCGGGAAGTGACTGTCGATCGTGCGCACTAAACACCTATCATCCCTCATCCAGGCTGCATCCAGGATGCATCCAGGCCCCTGACCTGCAGAACTTCCAGCAGATACACACTTTGCGGGAAGCGAGTGTCGATCGTGCGCACTAAACTAGTTTTCTTCTCTTCCCAGCGAGGTGGCAGCACTGCCTATTAACATTAACATTAACATTAACATTAACAGTAACGTTACAGACGCTCTAACAGTCAGTCCCGGCGAACGTTAAACTTAATTCAAATTTAAAACGTAAATATTTTTATACAAAACAAAATGGGCACAATATGAAGTACAGAATAAAAGCGTACATAACTACAGAAGACTATAAATACAATACAAAAAGTAAAAAGTAAAATAAATACGAGAACGACTAAGACTAAATTCGATTGAGGATTCGCTGAGAATAGCATTGATTAAGTACCAGGCTGATGAGGTGTTCAGGCTTCCGAGAAATCATTCTCGTAGGCATTGTTGCGATAGGACCCATATCCCGGCTCAGAATACATTCCACCCTCTTGTCGCAGTTTGGACTGATCCTTGGACTGCGACGTGATCTCAGACGTTTGGGGCTTGCCTACAGACTTGCCATCGTCCGGGATCTCGCTTTCCTGCGTTTGGTCCTTGTACTGATAGTTGCGGGCCAGCCAAAGGAATAACACCATGTCCACCAGCATGAGGCAGGCGAAGAGGGTAAACTCGCCCGACTGCGAGCTGGCGAGCTTGAACTCCGCGATTAGCACCACGATCATGTTGCCTATAGCCACCGACAGGAGCCAGCAGGCCTGCAGCACGCTCTTCATGCTCTGCGGCGCTTGGGTGAATGAGAACTCCAGCCCTGTCACCGAAAACATTATCTCCGCCGCCGTCATGGCTATAATCTGCGGTAGCTGCCACAGTATGGATACCGCAGTCGGCGGCGGCACCACCTCCAGCAAGTTGTAAGCCTGCGAAAGAAAAATGTACACGAATATAGCAAGGTTCATTCTGATCAATCCCAGATGGATGTGGCTATAAAAACATAGCCCGATTTTCTGGTTGGGGTGTAAACTTCTTCGCGCAAATTTGTCTATACTCACATAGCCAAGCGCTGCATCGCCGTTCACCAACAGGCTGTAGAGTCCCCCGTTCTTGGGCTGAAAGCTGGCGGCCCGCTTCCCATTGATATTCAGTTCGCCAAAACCAACTTTATGCAGCTCGGAGATACTGCGGTTTTCCATAGAGAGCGGTTGGAGCCAGTCGCCCGATCCTTTGAGCATGATGGGTCCCTCGTGCTTTGGCGTGTTGATGAGGGCCCGGAGCAGTGGTGGACTGTTGATGTTGGGAACACTTTTCAGACCGTCATCAAATTCTTGTAGCCCATTGTCGTCCAGGAAGTAGCTGGTAGCCTTGCCCGGGCGCAGATGTATCCGGCCTTGAATCTTGGCGCATTTGCCCGCCGGATCATGGGCCGTGAAGGTGTATTGTGTCGGCTCCTTTACGACCAGCGAAAGATCGGACCACATATGCAAAGGGTCGATGCTTCGGGAGGATGGGTCTTGTGCTGATGTCCTGGGGCTCAGGTTGCTGATGAACTCGTAGCGACAAGGCATCCCATTGTACAGTCGCAAATGGGCATTTTGGGGACTGTTGGGCAATGCGCCACTGGCGGCCTGTTCCATCTTCATTTCAAGGGCAGCGGACATGAAGAAGCCCAGGGCGGCCAGCAGCAGGCCGACAGTGAGCTTCTGGAGTGGCCGCCGCAGGCCGACCTTGGCCAGCAGGGGATAGATAATGTAGTCAAAGAGTGGGATGAAGGCCAGGATGAGCAGGGGATTGACCACTTGCATCTGATCGGGCTTGATCTGGAAGCCCAGTACAAGGCCATCCATGCGCGTGGCCTGGAAAGTCCAGCGGGATCCCTGCTGGTCGAACAGGGCCCAGAATATGGGGAATGGGAGGTAAAGGATGAGGATCCTGGCCAGGCTCTTGGTCTCGTGCACCATCTTGGCTCCCACCGAGTGTCGGGCGTAGTCGAGGAAGCTGGGCATCGGATCGGTCTTGCGGAACTTGCGCCAACCCTTGAATGCATCCATTATGCACTGCGAGACGCCGAAGATCATATTTCCCGTGGGCTCATTAATTTGGTAGCGCTTCTTCCCAGCCACAAAGATCACCACCGAGACGATCATAAGAATAGCAGGAATCCCGAAGGCCAGCGAGAAGCAGTCGTCCTCTCCGAAGCAGTGGACATCCGCTCGCAGGATTGGCGTCACCGTCGTCGAGATCATGGAGCCTGCGTTGATCGCAAAGTAGAAAAGCGAAAAGAACTTGGCCAGCTGCATGGTCTGCTGAGGCAACACGAACTGATCGCCGCCAAAGGCCGACACGCAGGGCTTTATACCGCCCGTACCCATGGCGATCAGTATGAGGCCCAGGATGGTCACAGCTCTGGCGGGTGTCGAAAAAAGGATTCGATTATCTGATCTGCCATCGCTCGAAACACCAGTACTCACTTGGTTGGCATGGCGCTTAGCGGAATGGCGCCAAAGGACACTATCAAGGCGCCAACACTGTACACCATCGAAAGATACAGTATCGTCTTGTACTTGCCCAACCAGCCGTCGGCGAGGAGGGCTCCGATCAGTGGGAAGATGTACACCAGCATGGTGAAGACGTGGAAGAGCACCGTCGAGGTTTCCTCGTTGTAGCCCAGCTTGTTGGTGAGGTACAGCACCAGAATGGCTGCAGGCAGATAGACAATGATTTCGGTCAGAAGGATGTGTAGGACGTATCCTACTCGTACTAATAGATGGTACTCACTGCGCATGCCATAGTAGTTGAAGCGTTCGCAGAACTCATTGCTAATGATGAAGCCCACCGACTTGGGATACGCTACCAGTTCCTAAGGGAATTACAAAATCCGTTAACAACAGCAGCAACAGCAATAATCTCAATCTAATTACGAGTCACATTTTCTTTATCAGATCAGCCCTATCTCTGCAGAACCTTTTCTTATCGATAAGAAAGTTTCGCCTCACTCGGTGACTGGGCTATTTCTGATCAAAATACTCACACACACACACACACAAGTATACCATCGGATAGTATACCCTGGTCAAGTAGAAACAGTTATTGAACAGATTTTCTAGTTCTTGCTGAATGCTATTTGATATGAGTGTTTCGGCCTCTACCTCTATTGTTTCTTGTTGTCACAGCCCTTGAAACTTTCTAACCATTTATTGGAAATTTACAGCTTACAGCTTGGAGTTTTTACAAAGGCCAGGTCATGCGAGCATTGGTTGATCTTTAGGTGGGGTTCGCAGTGAAAGCCTCACAATTAATTCACTTAATAATGCACAAAATCACTTTGAAACTTAAAAACTAATTGAAAGTTGAGGAGTATTGATGGATCTGCTGTTACCACACACCCATAATATCCATTAGCCCTGCGTTGGGGCCCATTTCTGCTAGGGTATTGCAGTGTCGGCCAGGTGTGGATCCCTTGACAGGCGTGTCTCTTTTGATGGCTTTTCTATGTTTATTCTCATGGTAATACGGCGTTAAGTTGTCTCTCGTTTTCGCTAGCCATTTCGGTTTCGTTTGGCTTTCGATTCTGTTTTGGTTTTCGTTTGCCGCGTCTCTTGGCCAAGGTGAGCAACGGTGTGAAAACGGGTTATTTGTTTGGCCCATGGGGCTGTTGTTGGCTGTTGGTCCATTGATGGACGGATTAAGAATTCTGCTCACACCACGGCCTAGGCAAAACAGACAGTCCTCACTTGCTCTCTCTCTCTCTCTCTCTCTATCTCTCTCTCTCTCTTTCTCTAGGGGGGGGAGGGGTATCCCTCTGTAGCTAACTCACCTTTGCTGATTTGCATTTCTCTATGCCAACTGCATGGGTGATGAATGCCATAACAATCTTTATATAACGATCGCCAGTCAGAGTCGGAGATGCGTCTGAGGATTCCGTCTAGCGACTGACTGTTGGATGAGCCAATGTTGGTCGTGTGCCGGGGATAGCGTTTGGAATCGAACTAAGAATGAGCTGATGCTGGCCTCGAGCTTTAAAGTTCGATTTGCCGGGCGCCTCCTCTCTGCCCGCTCCACTCTCTGCTCAGAGGCAGCAACAGTTGTTAGGCTGAGTTGTTGAGTTGAGCAAATAAATTAACAAACAATAAAAAAAAGAAGCTGCTGGGCGGAGCTGGGCTGAGGCTGGGGCTGAGGCTGGGCAGATGATGGTGACATCAAAGCTCCAGCGGATTACAATGTAATGAGCAGAAGCTTATCGACACTTCAAGCGATTGTCTGGGGTTTGCTTAAACCAGCAACACTCCAGGGGCGATGGCCCTAGGGGCTGGTGGCAAATGCATTGGCCCACGCGACGCAACTAAGTGGGTCAGCATCGTTGATACCCTCTACTGTACAGGTATGATCGTTCTTAGAATGGCGAGTCATTGTACATATAAGACTGACATATGAATGGGTTGGTTGGAAGAATCACAACCTAGCACCCAGGGACTGCAACTAAGAGGATTTGAAAACTCGTAGTTAGGTTTGGGGTATTTCGGCGTCGAAGCCGCTGAAGAAAACCCATCTCCTCGATTCTTGTTTTGATTTTCGGACTAGGCGATTGATTCAATCAATTTGCGGGCAATAAAAGGATCCCGATTCGGTTGACACACATTTTGAAGAACGTCCGCGGCCATTCAAGGTCGACTGCGGTCGCTGTTGCTCGGTTGCTCGACAACCTTGGAAGCAAAATCAGAAACAGAAGCAGAAGCAGTGGGAAAGTCAAAGTCAATGGAACCACTTTGTAAGCAATCTGCTGCTTATTCTATATATAAAGTACTGGTAAATTGCATTACCATTACATACTTACACATGTACATACATATTTACGCGTGTTCAACTACATAAAAACGTGTATATAGCGTACTTTCTCAATTGACTATTGAAAGTGATAATCAGTGCATACATATGTACATACTTATGTAGATGGCACTACCCTCCCCCATTTCTCTTGCTCTGTGTATTTTCTCTCTCTCTCTCTCTCTCTCTCTGCCTGCCCTTGGAGTGATTTCTTTTTATACCCTTCTAGAAGGTATTATTTAGTAAATTTGAGCGACCACAAAAGACTTTGTGTAAGAATATTTTGTATGTATTATCTAACCAAACTTAAGGAATTCCAGCGTTATATACATATGTACAAGTACATATGTATGTATTCAAATATCTATGTTATGCATTCGGAGAATCAAAATATCTTATCGGTAAAAATAGTTTTGAATTGTTAACAACACCTGTCCTTCCTTGTCCTGTTTTCTATTTTCCCTCTTCCATGACTCGAATATCTTACGTTCCTTCTTCTGCTCTCTTCCACCGAGCTGGTTCGACTTTTCTGCATTCCCGTCATTCGCTCTGCCACTTTCTTGACTCAATTTTCCTGCATTCCCTGATAACCGTAACGGTACTCCACTCCACTCACCCCACTTTCATCCAGTTTCTTTTGCTCAGTCTGAGCTTTTGCCTTCTCCTTGGCTGTTTTATCGTTGCCGCCTTCCTCTGCTCTTACTTCACAAGTATTGTTGTTCTCCATTACAAAAAAGGGCCTGTGCACATTACGGTACTCACAGAAACGAACACAGAAGCAGTAGCACAGTCTTTTGGAATTTTATCAAAAGTCCAAAAATTCACGCACGTTCAATGATTATTTTGGACAACAATTAACAACCGGCGACACAGGTGCAATTAAGACGAGTTGGGTTGGTCGATAGTGACAAGACGATCACACAGCGAGCGGGAGAGCAGAGGCGGGGGTCGGGCCACGTTGATGCCTGCCGTAAATGAGCAGCACACAATTGCCAAACGATAAATGATGCTCTGCCCCCGTGCAAGCTGCGCTTTTAAAGCGCAGAAAGACAACGGTGGAGAGGAAACAGCGGACAGTGGACAGCAGCAGCGCAGTCAGCAGCCAAAAAAAAGACGAACAAGAACAAAAATCAAACTAAATTTTTAGATAAACAGCTTGCACGGGGAGAGAGAGAGCAGCAGAGCTGACTCAATTAACGGAGATCGGCAACGAAGCTTTGACACTGGCTTTGCTCTCGTAGCAGATCGCGCTCTCTCTCTCTCTCTCTCTCTCTATCTCTCTTGCTCTTAGAGCTTAGTGCAGCTGCGACGCAGCGCTGCAGCTGGCGTCAAGCTTCATTTGCACATCAGTCGCTAGCGACCCATTACACCCCCAGAGAGCTTTTGCAGTCAAGTTCAATGCTGATCAACAAAGATGTACCCTTGATTCTTATTCTGTCTCTTTCTGCATCTGAATCTGCCGGAGCCCTGCGTGGGTGCAGCTATGACTCTCTTGCCTCAGGCAATATAGCGCTAAGTGTATTCCCCGAAGTAATCTATCTTGCCTGGAACCCCCCCTATAACATATACTATCTAAGGATCCCAGGGGTGTTAGAGGGCTGCTATCTTAGTTTGGTTTTCTTTACGGCTTTGAGTAACTTTGAGTGGGACTTTCCCAGGCAGCTATAAATCTACCCCGGTCGTAAAGATTTACGATGCGCATTAGTTATTGTTTCAAGATTGCTGTTTTTCGCGTGAATCGAATCTCATCGTTCCGAGCTGGGTAGGGAATCGGATAGTTCGGCTTCGACTCAACTGAGCCCAGAAAACTTCATCAGTAACGCTATATATGTAGAAAGAGTCGATTCGAATCGATTCTAGTGCAGTTAAGGGGATAACGCGAGCTCCCCAGAACCACACACTCACCTCAATCGGGAGAGGTTTCTTGAGGTTGTCCATTGTACCTGTTGCATGGGGCATATGGGGCAAATGACGGCTCGGCCTGAGCACTGCAAGAATGGAAAAGATTCTAGAATTGGGGAGGGTTTTAGTTGGAAGACTCACCCTTGCTGTCAGAGTCGTTTAGCATCAACTCCAGATTGGAAGTCTGAAAGGTGTACGCCGAGGACCGAGACCGAGACCGAGATCGAGACGGGGACCGGGTCAAGGACCGGGACGAAGAGGTAGACGTCTGTCGTTTGTAAGTCCCCTTCTTCATAGTGACAATTTGATTTCCGATATTTCTGACAGCAGACACACGGCCTCTCACAATCAGAGACATAAGAGTAGTTCAAATTCAATTCATTGAGCAAACAGTTGATATCAGCTTCGATATCGATCTATGTATGACGGGGTCGAGCAGTGCCTGCAACTCCTCCACTTGAGACATCGATCGCCCTTAGCGGTCGAGTAAAGCCATCGACTGCCCCAGTGCGAGTATCTGAACCAGGGACAACTCTTCAGTGTCTTCATCGACGAGTATATCTTTATCTGTGTGTGTATCTGTATCTGGGGAGGCACTCCAACCTCGACAGTTTGCTTTCGCTTGATGTTTATAGCCCCGTTACCTCTCCATGCCTGGGGGCTAATCACACTCCGATCCGATCTAATCGTCACCTGACCGATCGACCGATAAGACACCCGCTAAGGCTATTTGTTAGTGGTAGTACATTGTCAAGCCCTAAGTTGTTGGCACACAGCCGTTCAAGGGCACACCGGATTGCTCCACGTCTGAGGCAGTCGAAGATCGATCTGTCGATGCTTGTTGCATGCTGCAGATGCAGTTCCCCATTGAGCCTTACGTTCCGCTACCCATTAAAGTGATGGCTATCTCTGTGTGGTGTGTCAGCACGCAACCCGATCGACTGATACACATAACGTAGCCGTATCGTATGCGCATACTCTTAATGGCTTTAATTAAGTGTTACTCAATCGGGTGCATTGCATACCATAGACACCATGCAATCTCAAGCCGATCGGGCCTGGACAGGCCGAATGACAATCGACAATAAAATCGAAAGCAAGAAGCACAACAACAAAGAGTTCACTTATCGCCCAGCCACCCCTCTCCGGCCCCGGCCCCGGCCCCGGCACCGGCCCCTCGATTCGCAAAGCAATAATAATAACAACAACACTCGCACAATGAATGGCTTTTGGGCCATCAAGTATAGCCAATAGATGTTTATACTTGTTTCTGGGCATGGCTATAATGATAGCGAACAATAAATACTATTTGCAGTTATCGGCTCGGCGATTAAGTTCAGTTCATAAAACAAAACCGACACGAGCCCGGCCCGATTAGATGCCAATCGATGGGCGTAAGCGTCTCTGCTCTGAACTGAATCGAGCTGAATTGTTCTCCCAGCCATCCATCTCATCCATCATCATCCTAATGCCCTTAATCCTGGAACAGCACTTGTAATCGTAGTTGAGGTATTAGATTGTAGACTCGCCATCGGCCGTTGGGGTAACTTGGGGATCCTTCAGGCTGGTTCTGGATGTCGTCTGTTCTTGTTGTGCCCTCGGCTGTGGATAAGCCCTAATATAGTACGCAGATTAATTATAATACTGGCACAATCCTATCTAAGCCTATTTATAGATCGATATGATAACGGATATTAGCTCATGTTTTAGCAAAATATTCACACAAGTAACTATGACTCCATGATAGTATGCTTAAATACAATGAATGTGTTCTTTAGAGCTGGTTTTTAGTATTCTTGATCGATTAAGTACATAATAATGCTTGCAAGGGTAATCGAACCTTCCATCCCCAAAATAACGCTGAGCCATTAGATGAGGAGTACTGTGGTAGCTCCCCATCCCTGAGAGCTCTCCATCCACACTCTCTCCCCATTTGGCAGATATGTGCAGATACGTGATATTTAGTAAATGACTTGACTGGCTCTCCCGCCCACCTTCGAGTAGTTGGAAACAGACGAGGCGTGGCACTGAGATAAGTTACTGGCAGGGCAATCGAGATGTACTATGTACGTATTTATGCACCTACGATACGATGATCTTGCGTCGTCATTGTCATTGTCATTGCTGTTGGAGCCGCGATGAACAGCGCTGAGAGACGGGTCATAAATAACAGGCGGGCACGGCGAATACCACCTCTCATTCATTACGGGGACACAAAAGAGCGAGGGCCGTAAATACTCGTACTTGCCACAGACTGTCGATAACACAACGATTAGGCTTATCGCAGCTAACGCTTTTGTCATCCTTCCAGTGCTCCAGCGACGTCGACAGAGGTAGCGGCAGCGCCAGCAGCAGAAGCACCAGCACGCGCGCAGTCGCAGCGGGCAGCGGACAGAGCCAAGCAAAGCAGCGCAACAGTTAACGGCTTCTTAGCAAAGCTTGCAAGCAGTCGGCATCAGTCAGAGTCTGTTGATCGTCGCTTACGGACTTGGACCGTGCCACCACCACATCGCACTGCACTGCAGCTTTTGTTTGTGCCCGTTTTTTTTGCAGTTGTTGTATATTTAGCTCAATGTTTTAATGTGAGTTACAGTGCGGAGCGGGCAATGCAATACGATAAATGTACAATACGTAAATCTAAAGAGACAAAAAAACTCAGCCCAGAGAAAACACAGACACTTTCTTGTTGTAAAAACAAAATTTATGCACATTTTGCTACCTTTTTTTTTATTGTTGTTCATTCTGACCGCTTTGTGTGCTAATTGAACTCTGAAATATTTCGGGCAAAGGATGTCATATATGTATGTACTTTTATGAAGCACGTCTTGCGAGTCGCTTTTTCTCGTGTTCTTGATTGAATCAAAAAATAAAGAAAGCGCGAGTTTATATCTTAATGTACATGCAACACAATAAAATAAAAGAGTACGAATATATGTACATAAATAACAAAAAAATAAAAATATTTATATTCGATTTCAAGTGACGCGTAACGGATGCAAAGCGAACTCCAGCGGAATCCCCAGCACTAGCAGCACCAACATGACGGATAAGGAAAATGGTATTGTTAATTATTCTATAAATGTCCATAATTATACATGTGCATTGCACACTCGTAATTATATGGTTTCCGATTCAAGTGAGGTCTACGGATTTTTGGTTAAGATTTCATTGGCTGATGCCTGGAATAATGGGTGGATTTCAATGGAAATACTTAGCAATTATTGGATGAATCGATGTGGAATTAAAAGAGTACCAGAATTAATGGGGTTCTGTCTGTTAATAAATAAAATTAAATCCCTCCTTGAATGATTACAACAGCAACTCTAGAAATTACTCCGAAAAGGCTTGATCAGCCCCTATGTCCACTTCATCCTAGTACTCAGAGTATGAAGCTCTCCACTATCAGAGCTAAGAACCGTTGAGGCCCCCCCTGTGATAGCCTCCCACCTGGAGGCCCGTAAATACATATGTAGGCCGTTGAGTAACGAGCAGAGCCATAAAGATTACCTGTACAGTGTACAATGTACAGTGTACAGTGTACGGTTATATTTATCTGTCAACACTTGAATCGGTATTAGTGGCAAACTGCAGACGGGCGCTCTTCAGCCTTTCCCCAGAACTCTGGGCCCTGTGTGCAGGCCTACAAAATCTAATCGGTCCGATAGGGGAGCCTGAAGTGCCGAAATCCGAAAGCTGCTCCCCTCCTCCGACTTGGCCCAGTCGTGCTTTTACTGTCAGTCACTGATTGGGCCCAAAAAAGAGTTGCCAAAATTGGTCAATCGGCACATGCCTGCCTCTCCCCGTTTGGCATTGGCGCAACCCCGTTTTGTGGTAGATATATAACGAATAAATATTCGTATGTACATATATATGGTGTATAATTATATTCAGTCCGATAGTGGTGCTTGGGCTAGTGCGCTTGCACTTCAATGCCAGCCTACAAATCGGGCTAACAGCATTTGCATATTCCTAAACGTCGCGAGGTGTCGTCGAGGCGGGTGTGCGATGACTGCGACTGCGATTTAGCGTGGAATTCCCCTCCGACAAGCAATTGCTGACAAATCGCCGGGAATTGTGGGAGTTGTGTGCAATGCACGGAGTTTGCTTAAACCAACAAATGCTGGCTTTGTTTTCGCTATTTTATCTTACTGCCTTCGGCCCAATTAGTGAGCCGACTGGGCTGGTGCTGAGTGGTCTGAAGATTGTGTCATCAGTTGCTCAGCGCAGAACCTGGCCAAAGTAGCTACTAGCTAGGTCGGTAATTGTACATATATGTCGGGGCCAGCAACAAGACAATCAGCGTTACGCTACCGAATATTGGCTGCCATATCTAACCGATACCGACACCGTTGCTTTGATAGATATTGCCACATCCCCCGCTTGCGCCCGCCAGCTTCAATCACACATTCCGGGAAGAGCAAACTGAAAAACACTCGAACATTGTAATTAAAATTGGCTCGATATCAGGTTGCTACCTGCCCGTCCCGGGCCTCCTATCGCCTACTGCCAGGCCGGGCCGGGCCGGGCCATAAACCCGAACAAACAACTGATGGCCTAATCGCTTGTAAATCAGTTGCAATCGCTCCGATACATGACAAACAAGTGGATAAGAACAGCCGCCGCAGAGCTGTTCTATGGTTCTTTGGATCTTTGGTTCTATGGCTCTATGGCGATTGTACGCAGCTCATTCTGTGGCGCTGCTAAATTTACAACCGCTACGTCGGCCAATAGCGAGCACTACGGCCGGAGCGATAGCAGGAGCGATAACAACGATGGTAGTACCGATACGCAGTTTATGGACATATGCCTTATATCCTCATTCCACATTCCATGTCAGCCATCCGCCAGGCCAGTCAATTGACTTCAGGCATGCACGTACGCTCTGAGAAAGAGTTGTGTGTCTGGGATTTGGGATATGGGATTTGGGTGCATCCGCACTGTAGCGATAACATTTCCCATTCAGGAAACATCTGAAATGTTTTTCAGATAAGTGGACAAATGTTCGAAAAAACAATTTCTAGTGTTAATCATGGGATTTGCGATTAGTGTTCGACGTTGAGCAGCGCTGGATCCGCAGTAGAGTGACCTTCAAAAATGGTGACCCCATGCCGCTTGAATTTGAATGCAATTTGAAGAGCATTACAGCTCCGAGTCCATCTTACCGAATCCCTTTCGATCCTTCTTTTTTGGGCGGGAAGGTCTATAACTCCATAAACTCCTGTGAGGTGCACACTAGTCGTGGTGTCCCAACGGTGGCATTGACACACATCCAAATTACGCGCCAAACACGTACATTTCATGTATGTGGCATTTAGATACGACTACG